AGTAGAGGGAAGCCTCAGCTGTGCAAATTGCAAGCAAGAAAAGAAGATTGGAATTGGAGAGAAGGTGACCACTTTTCTCTGCACTCCTAAAACTAATACCAGTTTTTTTATGTCCCCATTTTGACCAGACAACACACCATGCTGCTGTAGATAAAAAGAATTAAATGGTTCCATTTGTCTCCTTCTCTAAGGGATGGGATCAATTACCTCTTTCCTCCATCAGCAACAAAAGGGTATCTGCACTGCAGCCTAGCTAGCTTTGCTTTCACTTCCAAGAGCCCTCTATCTTATTATCTCAGAGAGTTCAGTTAAATCTATCCGAGCCAGAGAGACTGCATCAACTAGTTTACAATGGACAACTGAGAGAAGGCCAAATCTAGTTGCCAGCTTGCTGGGTTAGGTGTGCTAGGGTTTAGCAATCATCTTCATATTCACTATACACAGGTTCCTCCGCACCCGAGAGAGACAAAGCTTCCCATCTTATACTATTGCTCTGTCTCTCTTCTCTTATTTTGCTCTCTCCGTGAAATTACAACATGGCAACCCGTTCGTACAATTCTCTATCTGTATTTTTATCTGTAAATTTGAATGCGTTTGTTTTTCTTCTTTGTGAAAATTTGGTTTTGTTTTGTTGATTGTACAGCGGTGGCAAGATCCTTTCTTCAGGTGGCAGCGACAGAAGAGGTTGCTTCCCCTCTCAGAGTTGTTCAGATCGAAGGAATCTCCATGATTCTCGTCTTTTCTCCGTTTTGCTGCTTGTAAATGTTTGGAAAACTATGGATGCCTAAGTTGATTATAACTATGGACACGACCCGCCCAGGCCACCTAGATCCTCCCAGGCCGCCAAGGCACCGCCTAAATCCTTCCAGGCTGCCTAGGCACCTCCTAACTCCCTGGCGGCGGTGTCCTCCCGTCTAGTGCAGCCCTAGCTCCCAGACCCGCCTAGGCCACCTAGATCCGCCCATGCCGCCTAGGCGCTTCCTAGATCCACCCAGGCCGCCTAGGTGCCGCCTAGATCCTCCCAGACTGCCTAGGCCCCCCCAAACTCCCCGGTGTCGTTGTCCTCCCCCCTCACGCCCAGGCCCTCGAACACTGCTCAAAATCTGGAACGGGCTTGCTCTGTGCCCTAGTCGTTCGTAGCGATGAGTTCGAGTCCGATTTGCAGAATATTTTTAAAAAACCGAGTATAGCTGACCGGCTATACTATTTTTTTTAAAAATTCAGAAAATACCGAGTAAAACCGCCCAGTAACGTTGTTCTCGCCATCATCCCAAGTAACCAGAAGTTTATATTTTGAAATGAGAAGAATGTTTGAG